TTGTCTGAGATGACAAATGAAGACATCAAGGCTATGCTTAACAAAGAAAGTCCTTGCAAAACACACGCCAACCAAGATGTTGAATGGCACTGTCGAGACTGCGACGAGCTGATCTGTGTGGTTTGCTTGAGAGATCACCATCACAATGACCACAAGATAACATCACTACAGGAGTTCATCACTGCCAATAAAGATGTTCTGTCTAAAAATCTCCAAGAAATCGAAAAAATGGATATTGACGAGAAAGAAAAGAAACAACAAGAACAAATTGCACTCGACATAAAACGTGACGGAGAAAAAGCTCAAGAACAAGTTAAGAAACTAACCAAAAATCTTGTGAAAAAAATTATTGATAACGAGCAAAAACTTTTGAATGAAATCCAGAAGAGCGTAACGAAGGCAGACAGAAATTTACGCATAATACGTCACACTCCAGCAGCACAAGAGTACATCAAATACTTTATACAAAATGGAACAGCAAGTGMAATCATTGACCTCCGATCAGACGAAGACTCGAAAACGTTCACCTACGACGCATTTGAAAACGACTTTGGCGGGATGAAATTTCAACCTAATGAACAACTTCGCAAACAAATGGATATTGGTGTAGGACTGCTGCAATCATTCAAAAGAGCCGACGCAAACAACAGCTCGGTTGAACCAAACTCCCTGAAAGTGGGAAGAACATTTGAAGCTATGGGAAAAGGCAGTTTAAAAGTGACACTTAGAACTTATAAAGGTGAACTTTGTGACCCGCCACTGGATGACGACGTTACAGTACACATCACTCCTGAAGATGACGTGACAATTGGAGAGAAAGAAGTGACTGCTGACGGCAAGATCAAAGTAATCTTTACTCCTCGTGTTCCTGGTCAGTTGACAGCAGAGGTTCAAGTACATGGAAATCCTGTATCCAACAGTCCACTAGTGATGGATGTCAAACCACAACACCTCAAGGAAATGACCACAAATTCAAAGCTAAACAACGCCTTAAATACTGGTTCAATGACATTTAGAGGTATTGCAGTGAATAGGTCGAACACTAAAATTGCTGTAGCAGACTCGAAGCAAAACTGTGTCAGAGTGTTCAACATGGAGGGGGATTTGCTACTGTCATATGGTAGTGAAGGCAGTGGACAGTTAAACAATCCACAAGGTTTATCATTTCTCGATGAAACAGATTTAGTCATAGCTGATTGCAATAATCATAAAATATGCATAGTGGATACAACCTCTGGTAGGCTTGTTAAAACCTTTGGTTGTCAAGGCAACATGAATGGACAGTTCAACCGCCCACATAGAGTACATGTTGATGATGATTCTAACATCATTGTGTGTGATCGTGGTAATCATCGTGTACAAGTGTTCACAAAGAATGGTGATTATCTATATCAGTTTACAATACCAGGAGAAAAGAAGCCATATGATGTAGTTAAACACAATGGACTGTTCTACGTCAGTGCTGGATCAGTGGTACATGTGATTGAGATGAAAGACAACCAGTCACAAACTACAGTAAACACTATTGATGGGGTGGACTACACAGATGGTCGGCTACAATATCCTTGGGGTCTGGCTATTGACAGTGACGACGATCTTCTGGTTTGTGATCATGATTCAAACGAAGTCTACAAGTTTACATTGGATGGTCGTTTTGTAGGAAAGACAAGTAAACTAGATTACAAAACTAACTTTGTAGCTGCATTGAATGATTATCTGATTTGTACCTGTGAAATGATGACTATGGGTTATGGTGTACGTTTGTTTAGGTAGTTACTTTTCACGAGTCCCTTTTACAGGTTTACCATTTACTACCGCACATTATTTTGCAACAATTTCTTGTATCAGAGCAGATTTCGTATGAGTGGGAAACGGACGGTACTGTACTGTGTCTGTAATCGTACTGTAACCAAATTCTAGTGCCCCATTGTTTCACCAAAATTCTGCAGGCCAGATGCGGTAACTGTGCGGTAACCGTGCGCTAACGGTGTCCCACTCATACGAAATCCGCTCTAATTTTATAAAGAATCAACAGAGAATGCCAGTATTTAGGAGGAGCCGACAGGTTCCTGGGAGAAATATATCTGTTCTTATAGTGTCCCAACTGGTTGCCAGCGACAATTTCAGGAAAAAGAACTCTTCAGGCAAGGAATACTTTCTAAGAATTTTTGGCAGGAAAATAAAAATGTCCTTTACCAAAAAAACATAAGCCGTTTTTGACCATAAAAACGTTATATAAGCCCTTATTGGGGAGGACTACACAGATGGTCGACTCAAGGACTCTTCTGGTCTAGCTATTGACATTGACAACAGTCTTCTAGTGTGTGATTGTGAATCAAGTAAAGTTTATAAGTTTACATTAGATGGTCGCTATGTTGGGGAGACAAGTGAGCTCGATTATAATCCTCATTACTTAGCAGTACTGGACAATGGACAGATTATTTGTAGCTCATATAACACTGGTGCTGTACGTTTTTATATGTAGCTTCAAAGGTATAATCTCAGATTAACATTATTCGCTTCGCAATAATGACAATAAGATATTATGATCTTTTGCTGAATCATCATTTATCATACAGAAATTTAAAATTTAACATAATTTAAATTTAATCATTACTATGTTATTGGAACTAAAATACCAATAAACCAATCATCACTTGAGCGTTGTACTCACCCAGTCATCTCAACTACTTCACCCACGGCACCGTGTGTCCTCCTTCCCTTCAGTATAGGAATTTTCAGCAATGAACCTGAGAATACAATTAACAAATGATGTCAGAAATTAATACATCTCATATCTAAATTTTGTAGCCAAGTTTGACAGATATAATTCTTGCTGCTGATTCTAGCTAACAAAGGTAATTTTGAAGTCCTATCTACTTTTATTCGCGGAAGCCTTTGCCGCTTTCTGATTTGTTCAAAAATTATCCTGCAAGCACGCATGATGATCCTTTACAAAGAAAAAAAAAACATTTGAAAAAAAAATGAATAAAAGTTAAAACAGCACAAAATTGAACTTGATTATACTAGATCGTCCATTAGCTCTTCAATTTTACGTTATTCGTTTTCATTGGGAATAGAGCCAAAACGTCCTGGGATCCATACATGCGACCCTTCAATCAGACAACGATGCAGTGTCCCTTTGAATAGCCAACTTTCGATATTCTGGTTGTCAAGTATAAAAGAATTGAAGACGAGGCTCCGAGGAAACAAAAAAAATTATCCAGAATATTGATAGTGGGGTATCGGGTCTGACAGCACAGAGTGGTTTTCTTACATGGTCAAGGGATACTTACTATATCGAACAATACAAGGGTGTTCCCGGTAAGATGGGCGGGAGGGGATTAGGTGGATTTGGTGTAGAGCCCAAAATACATTATAATGATGGAAATATGCTCTCTTCATATTAATAAAATTAATTCAAATCTGAATGGGAATTACTCTGAAAAACAACTAAAGCAGCAACATTGTGAATGAAACTCCATTTTCCACAGCCCCATTTCTGTATTATCAATTTTATATCTGTTGACCTCGTTAGTCTATCACTTCGGCTTTTTCTCTAAACGGAGAAAAACGAGCCAAGTTTTGCTCAAAAAGCAAATTTTCCGTTTCCGGGAAAACAAACAAACAAAAAAAGTTTATTTTCACGTATTTTATTATATCGTTCTTGAAACTGACTAAATCCTGATTCAGTAAAAATATCTATCTACGATTGGCTGTTTCATTGACCATATAAGGACTGTGACTATTTAATGTGTGGTAAGGTGGTTAGGCTATGCAGTCAGTAAAATATGCACGCTGTTCTCCTAGAATTTGACAAGCAAATACTCGAGTGTCTTTTGTATTTTGTATAAAGCTGAAACTTGTTAGACAACAAAACCAGGGAAGCTTCGACAAATATTTATATTTTGTCATCACTGTACCCCTATTAGGAATATTTTAGTTAGGGGTGAGGGTTTCTCATTTTGTTACTTCACGGAAGGCCTTATTTTGTTCGACGTGGCGTATCTTCAATTTTAGATTATACTCGTGTCGTTAGCTGGGTGCCTGGGTAGCGGTTAACAAAATTTGCGCATGCTCTTGAGGCAGTGATTGTAATAAAGTTTGAAAGTCTTGGGGATACTGCTGACGAACACTCTTCACCATATTCACCAGTCCAACGCGGACTTCTGAAGGGGAAAGAGAGAAAAATGGATGAATACTGCCCCTTAATTAACGATTATGTACTGAATTTAAGAATAATGTGTCTGTCATCTTATATATAATCACTGTGTTTATTTTCATCGTTAATTATTATYATCATTATAAYCATCACAATATACACAATATTTGGYATATTAYGCGCTCTAAGATTGGTMAAGAACCGTGTGTTATTTAAATACAAACACACACTTTACGCACCGTTTATTTTTACGTACGCTCTGATTGGTCAGAAAACCACTTTGCGCGCTATGTTGTTCGTTCAACCGTCTCAATGAAATCGCGGACACTCCGACAAAAATGGAGGAAAATATAAGATAAAACAAATACATTCAATTTTTCCATACACATCAAAATGTGAT